TTTTGTGAAATTATATTTATTAAACAAAAAAAAAAGATAAAATTAAATTTATTTTCCAATGTACTTTGCTATATATATAGACAAGTGCATAAAATATGGCGCTAATCAAAATGCCACAGATTAGAGCGGTCACTATATGGTAAAGTAAATATATATACAGGGTGTCACGTAATTGTTGATTAACGGGGAAGGACGTAAATATAAGGGTATATATAAAAAATAAGTCAAAAACATAAAACCGAATGTTTTTATTTCTGACTTCGTTTTTGAGAAAATGAGATTTAAATATTTATCAAGTAAACGTTCACATACTAACTCGTGATTATATGCAAGTGATATAACTAATACAGAATTATTCTGTATGTAAAAATAAGTAACAATACGTTCGTTTTCTAAAAGATCGAATTAGAACATAATCTGTTGGCATTAAGTGTAAGCTTAACAAAAAATTATTCAATCTAATCTTCTAAAAAAGACGGCCTTAGATGAAAAAATGTTAGTCTACGTTTGAATTAATCTTTTGTATAAAGAATCACCCTTTTCCTCATTGCACTATCAGTTATGAGACACCTTATATGTACTGATAAGTGTATTGGAAGTAGAAAGAGAACGAGTGAACGAGCAAGAGAGGGGGCGGGGAGAGAGAGACAGAAAGACAGATAGAGAGAGAGACAGAGAGAGAGAGAGAGGCAAGAATAGAACTGGGTTTGGCAAGCGTGGTGATTTTACACCTACCTTTTAACCGGACCGTGGCTGATTGTATTGTATCCATTTCACGATACGTATCATGCTTGGCCCAGGTGGTTTCCCTAAGAAACGTGAATTTCTGTTTTACATACTACTACAACATTTTATCATAGCTGTGACAGACTCATTCAACATTCTGTACGATCGAAGCTAGTTTCCAATAAAGTGTAGATACATCAGAAATATGAGATTACGGAAAGTTGTGATATGTATGTCGTAAAATTATAACGTGTTACGACTTAATAAATCTATCAGTTTTTACGATTATGCTCTTGTTTTGAGCAATCTTAAAACTTTAAGAATGACTTAAATGGATCACGATCATTATTAAAGAGCTTCAATGCGCGATGTTGGATATTATATTATGTTGGATATGTTGGCTGTTTTGGGTGGGACTACCGACACTTACAGCCTATCCTGTATCATCTTCGATACAAATAGGTATGTTAATTGTCTATTTCAACGTGCGTTTTAATGACACCTAACGAATTAGAGGTTATTTCATTTTTAACAGATTTGCCAAATATCCATACTTCATCAAAATGGGAACGATATTGGGTACAATATATGATTGCTCTTTTAAGTATAACTGCTACAGCATTTACTTTAGTTGGATGTCTTTGTTGTCGCAGACCTAGGCGACCTAAAGGATTTCAGGTAATATTGCCACCAATCGTAACGAATAGTATAGTAAATGAAAGTTGTTACGATTAATTAGTGTCTTAAGAATGATTTATACATTTCTAATTGTAGGACAAAGCAGGAAAGTACAAGCAGGTAACATAGATAATACAATGTGAATTTTGGATCAATATTATTAATAAAATAAATTTTGAATAGCTTATCTTTGACTCCTTTTATTTGAATATTTAAAATACATTAAAAGTAGATTATCAAAGTCTAAGAGAAATACATAAGTACTTTAAGTCTTTAGTATAAGATACATTAATAATTTATTTAATTCAATATTCTTATGGAAGGAGTCATACAACATCAATGAATCACTATTTCAAAATTTATTACTTATAAATATGTAAAGAATTAGTTTTCTTAAAACTAAAACAATGCACTACATATATAGTAGATTTTATTGTATATTTTTTGTTTCAAATAGTTGCACGAATAGTAAAAAAATAAATATATTGCTATAGAATGCTGCTATCGGAATTGTGTCTAAATATATGTACATTTAATATTATTTAATATTTAACTCACTTTAATTTTTTACTTTGTTGAATGCTTATTATTGTTTGCTTTCAATAAAGTAATGTAGTGAATATGTTTAATGTTTTATATTTTAGGAGTTTAAAGATGGAAACAACATTGAACAAGAATCAGCATTTGAGCATAGCATTGAAGGATTAGAATTAGATGTTCCACGTATGTTAATTATTGCTGATAGAGTTCAGTTCGAACCTCTGCCTGTAGACCATATTATATCTGGGTCCAAAAGTTCTTCGAAACCTAAACCATTGCCACTGTCAACATCATTTTTTGAAGAACGTGACTCGGATTCTAATACTCTCCCAGAACACTGTCGTGAATGGTTTGATGCACAAGAGTTATCTGTACCCAGAGAAAAATTAAAATATTTGAGAGAGATAGGTCATGGTTGGTTTGGAAAAGTTGTAGAGGGTCGTGCAGACTTAGAAGGATGTAAAAGGATATCAAAAAATGGAGGTGTTGTTGTAAGAATTCTTACAGAAGAAGCCACTACAAAAGAAAAAGCTTGGTTTCTTGGTGAAGCTACACCATATCTAAAATTACAACATCAAAATATTTTGACTTTGTTGGGTTTTTGTTTAGAAACTGACCCATACCTATTGATATTTGAATCTTGTTCAGTAGGTGACCTCAAATGCTTTTTATTATCAAACTATGATAAAAAATCTCAAGATGCGCTTAGTAAAGAAAATATTCCAGTTCGAATGGCACTAGATATTGCAGCTGGTTTGAAACATATGCATAGTTATGGATTTGTGCATACAGATTTATCTGCAAGAAATTGCTTAGTAGCATCAGATTTATCAGCAAAATTAGGAGATTATGGTACTGGCGTAGAAAAATATCCTGAAGATTATTATGTAGTAGGAGATCGTGCATTACCGATCAGATGGTCAGCACCGGAAAGCATAGAATGTACTGATACTACAATTGAGACAAGAGAAATTACACCTCAAGCAAATATGTGGAGTTATGCTATTTTTCTTTGGGAAATTGCTACTTGGGGAAGTAAACCATATAATGATAAGAGTGATGAACAAGTTATTCAAATGCTATTATCTTTAAGAGCTGATTCGTTGCCAAATGGTATACAAGTGTTACAAACCTATTTAGAAGGTTGTCTGCCAAATATACTTCAGGCAATTCATTTATGTCTGAATTTAAATCCTCAGAAAAGGTCAACTTTGGAAGAAGTGAAGCAAGCGCTTTTAAATGAATATACAGATTACTTAGATTTTGAACAAAGATGGGAAAGTTTACGTGTAAATAGAACTAAACATGTCCGCAGTGCTAGTTTACAAGATCTTAGAGGTAGTATTGATTCGGATTATTGGACTACAATTGTTGATGATACACCACGGCAATCTTCATTTCGCCTTGGACCAGGTGAACTGGTAAAGAATGTACCAAATGTTAGAAATGTTGTTGTTCATCACGAATCTAGTTCTGAAACTGAAGAAGAAAGTTGGAAAGAACAAATTGAACAAGAAGTTTATACTGAAAAAGTGAAACAAAAGTCTAAATCTGTTACTGATTTAATGGTGCTTGTGCATATCGACCTTGATTCTGATGCAGAATTATCAATGGGGGCTCAAACATCAGATAAACATGTAAAGAAAAAATTACCAGCTACTGGTAGTGATAGTGACATTAGACATAGTATTCATATGGATGAGTTTGATGAAGCATTAAGAAAATTACGAGATCCTTTGCCAAATAATGCTTCTCATAAGATTAAAATGTTAGATAGTTCAGAAAGACCCAAATTATTGACATTAACAATGGATCAAGGCCAAACGCCAATTTTAAGGTTATCCTTAGATGATAATAAATCTGTTGTAGAAACAGATGTTAAACCTATTATAGATGCAAATATAGAAACTCGTAGTGACAAACATGTGTTGAGACTTGTGTCTAAAGGAGATCCCAATTTCCCCCTTCTTCGTTTTGTACCTGATCATACATCTTATGAAACATTACAAGAAAATATTGCATGCCAATATAATAATGTAACTAAACACGAAGGCAATGATAATACTTTCTTTTCTAATAATTTTTCAATTAATTTTGATGAAGTTGAAAGTCATTTAGTTGATGTTGAATTATGGAATCATGCACTAGATTCTGCTTTAGAAAAGAAAGTCCCGGGTTTTCTTTATGAAGGTGAATTTAATGATTATGCAGAATCTTCTAAACAGCAAAATAATAATACCCCAGAATTAATAGTAACTACTGCAGTAAATACACCACAATATCATACCAAGTATTCTGAATATAATGCAGGTGATGAATTTTTTAATGGAGAAGACATGGACATGGAAAAAAGATGTATACCTAATGACGAAGAAGAGGAGAGAAAGCAATTATCTACTCCAGATGATGAGCAAAGTTCTGATTCTGGGTTCAGAGATAAGGAATCTTGTGAGGAGGAAGAGAATGTTTGTCCATCTTCAGTTCCTTCATCTTCTGTTAATGATTCTGCTATAATTGCAATACCTACCGAAGAGCAGCAGTTACAGATTTTATTTGAATTAGACACAATTCTCGATGCTGAGTATTATGCAACATTGCAAAGTTCTGAGAAAGTAACAGAAGATTTATCCTATGTTAAACATACAGAAAGTAAACAGGTACATGTAAATGATGAGGAATCTGATTCTTTACAGACTGTAGAAACTATAGTTGAAATAGGAACTGATAAAAGCTGTACCATGGATGTCAATTTAACAAATATTAATACTGTGAAATCAGTATCAGAGGATGAAAAACGACTAAAGCCAAAAACTGTATTTAAACTTGGAGAACAGGTAGATTTAAAAAACTCGAGTAATGTTAATATTATTTTTCCACAAAATAATCCAAGTAATGTTAATATTATTTCTCCACAAAACAATCCAAGTAACGTTAATGTTATGTTTCCACAAAACAATTCAAGTAACATTAATGTTACTTCCCCACATAAAAATGTAATGCAGCATAATATACCTATGAATATGAAATGTACAAGTACATATCAATTATCAGAAAAATATCTATTAAGTGGAAATGAAAATGAGAACAAAACTGAAACCAATAACGAAGCAGAAAAAGAAAACAAAATTGAAAACGATAGTGAAAAAGGGAAGGAAAACAAAACTGAAAATGAAATCGAAAGTGAAAATAAAAACGAAACCGAAAATAGGTATCAAAATCAAAATACAAATACAAATGAAACAGAAGACGAAGATAGCTCTACAATGAGTTTACGTAGCGATAATTCTTATGTATCATTTGGTATGGAAGAAGAGTTTGTAACAGCAATTCGAAATGAACTAAGAGAGAAATTGCCTTGTGCTCAAATGACTGTTGTAGAACCTTTGGAAACACATGATGATGATGATGAAGATAATCCTTCTGTATCTAGCGATATAGAAAATAGACAGTGGGATGATGATGATGATAATGAAGAATCGTCAAATCAGGGCAGTGGAGGTGTGGGTATTTCAATAAGGTATCTGTTATACTTCTTATAATTACCTAAATAAAGTAGTCTTAATTCTTAATTAATTTCATCATTTATTTATACAACTACATTAAAAAGTTATTTATTATATATAGGTATAATATATATGGAACCCCACTTAGTCCAATCCAAGAAGAACGAGAAAGTACTCTTACTTCAGAGTCTTTAATGTCAAATTCTAGAGATGCATCGATTGCTTCAAAAGAATCAGCTGCGTCGGATGATGTATTATTAGTTGATACTCTAACAAACAAAATGGTTTTATTAGAAGGTTTAGGAGAGAAATTACATGATGATGAACGAGATACAACTAATGGAGATCTTTCTGAAGAAGAAAACCTGGATTATAATTGTTCAGTAATTCGTTCTCGTGAAGAAAAGTCACATATTATGATTGGAAGTGGGGTAGCACCTTTACCAAGCCCTGAAGAAGAATCTAAATGGCAACAGTTACCTTCACCTTTTCCGTTACCCTTACCTTTACCAGCAGAGGAAGGCTTAATGTCAACAAGTTTTGGAACAGAACATGGATGGGGTAGTCAAGATGAAGATGAAGAGGAGGAAGATGAGGAGGAAGAAGAAGAAGAAGAAGAAGAAGAAGAAGAAGAAGAAGAAGAAGAAGAAGAAGAAGAAGAAGAAGAAGATGAAGATAACAGTTCCAGTTCCGGAGAATTTGTTTGGAAGGTACTTTACTGTTCATATATTAAATGTGAAATAATTCTCATGGCTATGATAATTTTATATCTTGTAGCGATACAATGAACCACACGTTGAACAGGTTCAAACTCGGAGCATATTAACCAATAATGAAGAAACAACAGTTGCTGATATTGAAGATGAAATGGGTGCAGAAGAAGAAGAGGGGGATGAAGAAGAAGAAGATGAAGAAGAAGAAGAATTTACACCATCAGCTTGGAATGCAACATTAGCACCACACCGTTCTGCATTAAGATCTCCAGACAAAACATTAAAATCCGGCGTAAGCTTTATGACAGATTTATTATCACTCTTTTTTTTAGTGCAGTATAAATATTTATTAATTTTTATTTTTAATCTTGCTGCTAGGACGAATCGGTAGGTGTATTATTTATTTGTACATAGAATAATTTATATAATTTTAACCTTCTTCTGATGAATGTTTCTATTCCAGATTTAATTTGAGGTATTTAGCAAATGTACTTTTTACATATTAGATATATGTTAAATATAGATATAGCTTAACCATTTTTATCGGATCGACAATGTGCGATTTGTCCAGGATCAAAAGAAGAGTGTTTGGTTCAAGAAGCAACGTTATCACTGCGTATACGAATATCCGAAGGAAACATTAGCTACCGATATTCAAGGAGAAACGTCTACCACCTGGGAACCTACTTCATATGCTGGTAGTGTCATTAATATATTTAATAACTTAAAAGAGTTTAATAATTTATTGACATTTTTCAATTACTTTACGTAAATATAATTTCTATAAAAAAGAAACTGATGTCAATAGTTATTTTTGTATGAGATGTACATGTACATGGTTTGTTTTTTAGATTGGGAGGAAATGATAGATGAACCACGATTAGATCTATATCCTCTAGATTATGACGATGGTAATCATACTGGTATGTTTTATTATTATTATAATTTTTTTTTATAATACTGCAGCAGATGGACGGCTTTATCGATTTTTATAAAATTAACAAATATCATAAAAATCAATGATTTAAATAACCTATTTCTCTGATAAAAATGTCGTTCTCATTTAGTTTTCGAAATAATCGTGAAAAATTTTCGCTACCACTTCATTTAATTCTA